ATAAAACTGAAAGTGAAATACAGCATTAGGTTTCCTTTAGACCCATTTACTTATACATATATAGTCAGTATGCTAACTCCAAGTGCTTATTTAGTCCTCATATAAATCATCGTAGGCGAAACGCTTGAAGAGTGTCTGCAATATACTCTTCACCACCTCAGCAATGGCCACGTGTACGGAGGGTTGCAGCTCAGTCCAAACCTCATTCCAGTTTTGATTCAAAAACTCATTCAGATTGCTACCGAGCGCTGGATCGCCGTTAAACAGATTTGTCAGCTTGATACTCATTCTAAGAGTTAAATATGAATAMAAATTATTTTAATTGCTTATGAACACGAATTAATATTTTTGCTATTACCTGTTTGGTTCCACCAACACTTTCAGTTTGTCCACGCTAAGGTATGTCTTGCCATCCCTGGGATGAAGTGCTGGCTTGAATTTTACGGAGAATTTGGGGTTGTGCAGCACAATATCGGCGTCACCGTCACCTTTGATGGGCAAAATCAATATGCGTCCGTCAGCGACATATTTACCACGCAGCGCGATTTTTGGGAAYGAACCGTACATTTCAAATTTGCTTGTGGCAGGATCGCGTTCGAAACCACTGTAAAATATAAAGACATGAAAATGATGAATTCTTGTGAAATAAATATTTAAAAATCGAGAAAATGGAACACAATAAGGAACTGAATACTTAAGTATTAAGTATTTATTCATGTGTTTTTTTCCATCTATCGTTTCACACAGTTCAGCAGCCAAGTGGAATGAAAAAAATCTTATTCTCGGCTTCAACGAAACTATAACATCTTTCACAGGAGTACGGTTTGCCTCAAAGAGAAAACGTTTCGATAGTATTTTYGAAGCACTTTGTKTGATATAAACAACCGWCAAGTCTAAYTAAGGTTATTTAAAAAAATATRTTTTTGATGAAAGCCTTTATCTTAATTTTGATCGATCGGTTTAAATGGCAGCTATATACTATTATATTGGGCCGCTAATATGTAGCGGACAGTTTAGTGAAAAGAGGAGTTCCGTAAAGAAAATGATGTACACAAAAAGTCAAATATATATCTAAAAGAAACAATCAACTCAGTAACTGACAAGCAGAATATATTCGGTTTAGGAATGCTCAAATTCGGAGCAATATGCAACAGACGATCTACTATAAGAAGTAGAAATACCAAAGACGGTCTTGATGAATATTCCACTGATTTATATGAAAATGATGGGAAAAAATTGCTAGAAAGCCAAATGTGACAACGAAAGCAAGTTAAATCTAAATTGATTCACTTTTAAGAACTGGTTAGGCAGTGTTTCCAATCCGGTAATGTCTGTAATTCGCTCGATATTCACACGCGTCAAAACTTGGATAGGGCCTATGGGTATTTTCAAAAGCTCTATAAGGCAATGTTTTTATTACAATCTCAGAAATTTTTACCTAGGTATAATTTTTACCGTTATGTTGGCCAACAGCTTACTCAGCGGGAAGAATATCCCTTAACCACTCAATGCTAATAGATACTTTAATCTACTCTGTAAAGTATTAATTTATGCTATATGTACGGTGCTAGCAGTAGCGGTGAAGTAATATCCTCTCTGCGTTATAGAGATCAAARAGAGAGGAAGGRTTTTTCAATTATTGTTTTAAAGAGTCACAAGAACAATAWTTAAGGGAAGAAAACTATAAAAAAAAACTRTAAAATAAAAAATARCAAGTAAGGAAGGGCTAAGTTCGGGTGTCACCGAACATTTTATACTCTCGCATGATAAAGTGATAATCGAGATTTCAGGCGTGGTTGTGAACCGATTTCACCCATATTTGGTACATGTCATCAGGGTGTTAAGAAAATATTATATACCGAATTTCATTGAAGTCGGTTGAGTACTTCCTGAGATATGGTTTTTGGTCCATAAGTGGGGGACGCCACGCCCATTTTCAACTTTTAAAAAGCCTGCGTGCAGCTTCTTACTGATATTTCTTTTGTAAAATTTAGTGTTTCTGACGTTTTTTGTTAGTTGGTTAACGCACTTTTAGTGATTTTCAACATAACCTTTGTATGGGAGGTGAGCGTAGTTATTATCCGATTTCTTCGCCTCAAAAAACGACTTTGTACAGTTTGGTTGACATAGCTATAGTAGTTTCCGAGATATGTAAAAAAACTTTGTAGGGTGCGGGCCACGCCCACTTTTCCCAAAAAATTACGTCCAAATATGCCCCTCCCTAATGCGATCCTTAGTTATGACACTTAATAAGTTTTCGGTTTCCGCCATTTTTAGGGCGTGGGACTGAGCCGATTTTGCCCATCTTCGAACTTAAACTTCTTATGGAGCCAAGAAATACGTGTACCAAGTTTCCTCATGATATCTCAATTTTTACTCAAGTTACATCTTGCACGGACGGACGGACAGACATCCGGATTTCAACTCTACTCGTCACCCTGATACTTTTGGTATATATAACAATATATCTGACTCTTTTAGTTTTAGGACTTACAAACAAACGTTATGTGAACAAAACTATAATACTCTCTTTGGCAACTTTGTTGCGAGAGTATAAAAATAAAYAAGAGGATATTGATATAACTTATTAAAATAAAGTTTATAAAAATACAGTTTTGACTAAAATAATAAAGCAAATACAAATTATATATAGTTTTATTAATAACTAAACTCGTTGCCTCCGTTTGGCCTTGCAAAAATGTCTTCGTTATAGCTCTAACAGAGCGGGATGGCAATTATAATAGTTTTTGTTGTTGTCGTTAAACTTTTCCAAAAATATTCGCTCATGCCCATAAAATTCAGTAAAAGAAAAAATATGAAGCAAAAAAAGTGAATACTGTATACTCAAAATACATGTGAAAATGTCAAATATGTGTACATATGTATGTATGTATGTATGTGCGTTGACAAACAGCAAAAAATCAGTTAGCAAAGAAATCAATGYTAAATAAAACACCACATGAGGTTAATGAACCGCGCATGGATAAATTCAAAGCGAAGAAGAATTTTTGAATAAAAACAATTTATGCAAATAGATTTTTGCAGCATTATGTATATACATATAATTCAATTAAAYGGCAATGAATTCGATCTACAAAGTTGGAGAATTCTGGTGGCAATTTTTTATCCACAATTGAAATTCTGAGGGACTTTATGCAAATATGAACATTTGCAAAAAAGTAAAATATTCTCTGATTTCTAAATAAGCGCCGTAGACTTTGAACCTACGGCAACTAAATAGTGGTTACACTAGTATTCTAACAAACAGCATTAAGAAGATTTCAGAACTTAATGTCCATGTAACCACGATATGGCATGTATGCGAATTATTATTATTAGTTGATGTAATTGTATTCTTAWATTTCTTATTTACGTAAACATTAGGGTATTTAGTTGCTATAAGATACTTTCGAAAATGTATGGTAGTTATGGCACATTTTTAACTTTTTTGGAAATACAAATAATACAAAATACAAAAGCAACAACAWCAATTCGGTTATTTCTTTTCGTGCTCAGCTTCGTGATCTAAAGAATAAGCGACTCCAAAATTATTTCATTAAGATTATTCAAACAATTACTATCGAAATCAATAATACACTGAATAGACCATTACTTTCAACTTCTATGAAATTTTATCTGAGTTGAGCGTTATTTTGCCAATCGGTTTAATACAATACTAGCATATCACTCCATTTGCCATGCTACGTGGAGGAAGAGGATATAAACGATGAGTTGTGAACATCGAACTTTTCTCCGATCTCCCGCCCTCTCTTCTCTACTGCCGTAAAAAAAAAAATAAAGGAACATGTAGGTTTTGCGTACTTCATGAATTATTTGTGATCAATAGAAATAACAATTTAAATTATTTAAAATTTATAAAAATTGCTTAAGTTTGGTAATGTATCTTGATTGATACTCGCTTGGTTATTCAATAGATTTCCGCTATACATGAATGTTGAAATAATTGAAAACATTTGCTTATGATGATTTCCCATTAAAAACTTATGCGATTTCGGAGCTGTTTTTGACATAAAAAAGCTTTATTMTGCAAAATCTTGGAGATGGCAGCAAAATCAGAAGAATCCTACCCAAGGTAGGATTAGAAACTCGGTAATTTATATGCATAGTTCTGCTGTTTTACTGCCCAAATAGTATAATAAGCCCGATTACATTTCATTTTACTCTTCCACCCAGTTAAATAATAGTCTTCATTATTTAAAGTAAAGCCAAAGGCAAAACTTCGTAATTTGTTTCGAGTTGATATTGAATTGTTTCGAACATAGTCACGCAGAGTGTGCTGAACAAAGCGGAAGAACACTTTTGGCGCACAAGTACACCGCGTACGAAATTTCAATGAGGCCTCCAAATAAAATATTTTGACGCCGCTCATACATACAAATTGAGTTTGTACTTTAACAAATTATTGAAAAAAAAAAATATCAAAAAATCAACTCACACAGAACGATCAAATTTKACGGCGGACAATCCCTCAACATGCACATCACGGAAATTCAATTTCAAATTCAGCGAACCGGTGCGGCCATCCGAAATGTCGAATCGCTTCACAATGAAAGGTTCAATGATTGGAAAGCCCGCCGATGGGTAGCCGGTGCGCGCATACTGATGCACCAAATTCGCCGATGTGCGCGTTATGCAGTCTGTGTCGCCTGCGCGGCAGCGCGGTATGTCAGCGGCTAAAAGTGAAAACAACAAAATACAAACAAACATACATGAGTATAAAGCGAAATGTTGTGGCAAACATAACTGCAATTATAAATCAAATGTGCCGCGGAGGCTGCAAGAATGTAGTCAATGTCGCAGAAAATAAAAACAATAATAACAAAATATGTAGCTGGTGAAAGGGAACTTACGAAAATTGCTGCCAGCCGCCGAGATGAGCAACAGGCAGTTGCTGATGACGGTCGCAAGGACCAAACATTGTTGCGCAGTGCACATTTTATTTATTTATGGATTTTCTGACAATCGGTTGCTGCCTGACAACAAACGCTCGCGTTGCCGATTTGATATGCGCACTAAATAAGTTGGGTTGAATCACTTAGCTGCTGCGCGCACTCGATTTAGGTAGACGCGGCGCACAAAATAAAAGACTTTAGCGACGAACTTGCTGATTTATTATAGGCGCGTTTGTATGTAAGGAAGCGATCCTGTGTGTATTTTTGGCTGAACTCGCTACGCGACCGTTTTTATCGTGAGCTGCTCGTTGAAAAGAATACAAATTTATTTCTTCTTGTTTATTTTGAATTTCCTATAAACSAAAAATKGCATTGCCTAACKRCCACTGTATTGTTGCTAYAATTAATTTTTCAAATTTAGTTAACTCATCAATAGCCACTGCGTTAAATTGGCGTTACGTAGCGGCCTTCCRCGGCACGGTCGCGCACTCGTGTTGTGTTCAGCAAAAATTCGCGTTGGAATAAGTTTTTGCGAACGCTTGGCCGAGTTCAATGCTAAACTGTAAAACAGTTCTGGACAAACGCAGGCATTTATAATCTTTTTTCGGTGGCTTCGCGCGGCCACAAAGCCTTTGCGCTTTTGTTTCATTACTGCTTGTACGTTAGTGTGTGTGTGCGCATATGTGTGTATTTTTAGACTCGCTGTWATTATTATTGTTGTTCTTAACGTTCGTTTGTGGTATTTACTTTTAAGTTGCCTATTCAACGATTCTACGATGCCAATAGCAATTTGCAAGCGCTGGCTATAATCACTCACAACCAAGCTTATGCAAGCACTCACTCACGTGAATATAGTTACATACATATATACAGTTAATATCAGCTAAGTTTGTTRTTTGTGTGCGTAAAATTGTTCATCCAAATGACTAAACGGACAGTTTGACTATACTTCCATACATTCTGTCCGTCCGTACGTCTATCCAGCGCGTTGACGCCAATGGCAGACGTCAGCTGTATGCGCGCCGATGTGCGCTCGTCTTCGCAATACTATCCGTGTTCAAAATCGTAAATAATTAGTATTATTAACAGGTCTAGAAACGCACAAAAAATTGTATAAATTTTTAATTGGCCCCTATMAAGTTTTTGTTTTCACTAGAGTGTGTTTTGCTCCTTTGTTTCGTCATCGTTGAAATCGTCTTACATATGGCAACAACAAACTACATACATACACACTTTCTTTGTAACTTCATCGTCCATACCAAAGTATTTAGCARGAGTACGCGCGTAATGCTGATTTTAGCGCAGAGATATTTCTGAAGGTACACATATGTGTGTGTGTGTGTTTGTGTGCTATTATTGGCTTTAAGCTGCGGCTCCTACCAATGCTATTATTTTGCCCCTTCGGCTCCACAACTACTCATTACGCTCCACTTGCGCGCGCATATTTASTAATGTGATTATATTCCTTTAGCGAAATTACTTATAGAAAATGGTAAGCAGAAACGTCTGAAAAAGAAAATAATAACGCTTTGTCTGCTAAAGAGTTTTATGGACTTTGTTCTTTTTGTATTTGCCTTTTGTTCTTCCAGATAAAATTCCTTTCCATTTCAAGGTCAAATTAATTAATTTTTAGCACAACTTTAACCCACATTATTAGTAGCGATATACGAGTGTACCGACAATATAAAGCGGAGATTTATTACACTGTTCTAAATTATTCCGCGAATATGAGATCTGATAAGGAACAACTCATTAAAGGCCAGTTTTTTCCTGTATTTTCCAGATTTTATAGGAGGCAGTTATTATACATAACTGAGTCTGTTGTGTGCGCGACAATCACCCGACGGATTGCGAGTTCAAATTTAATCTGCTTGCTGAGTTTTAATTTAGTACTCATTCTGTACGGCAGATTAATATTATTATTCATGTTTATTAATTAGAAACGTACGTATATACGTTACGTAGATAACATATTTTGACTTGGTATCAAACCTGAATGAAAGCGCGGAATCCTACATCTAAAAAATTATCTCATGGTTTT